TTCAGGCCAGAGCACTCATGGTGATGGTGATAGTGATGGCTCTTCAGGACAGAGCACTCATGGTGATGGCTCTTCAGGCAGCACTGGGGCTGTGTCAGAATCTCAGCTCCAGCCAGGGGCTGCTTTCTGCCCAGGCTGCAGAGCTGCCTTGGTTTCTTTGGTGGCCACACTGTGTGGAGAGCCGGGATCTCAGCAGCCAGGTGTTGAGTTCGTGAGGGTCCCCAGGCTGAGGTGAGACATGAGGAATCTGACTCCATGTTCTCAGAACGCTGATTTATTATTTTAGAGTATTATATTAAAGAATGCTATAGTAAAACTATACTCAAGATAGAGAAGGATACAGAGAGAAGGCTAGAAAAGAATGAATAATAAAAGCTCGTTACTGACTCCTCAGAGTCTGACACAGCTGATGGTGATTGGTCATTAAGTAAAAACAAATCACATGTTGGATAAAACAGTCTCCAGACCACATTCCAAAGCAGCAAAACATGGAGAAGCTGAGGCTTCTCAGATTCCCAGGAGAAAATACTGGGCAAGGGGATTTTTCTAGAATATATAACAGTGACAGCCAGGCTTGGACTCAGCAGCTGATGAGACCTGGACTCTCCCCTGCCCGGCCCTGCCTTGGCTGGGGCTCTGTGGCCTCCCCTGCCCGGCCCTGCCTTGGCTGGGGCTCTGTGGCCTCCCCTGCCCGGCCCTCCCTTGGCTGGGCCCCATGGCCTCCCCTGCCCAGACCCCGGCCCAGGAGGGGAAGGGAATTGTTGCACTTCAGGGAGTTCCTTTGAGCAACCTGCACTTTTGGGGTCTGGAGCATGCTGGCTAGAAAGGAGCTAACAAATAGGGCAAGGATGGGTCTTTGTTGGGAGATCCAGAGGGTGTTTATTCTAAGAGGGTACAGGGACAAAGACAAAAACAGGCTTGGGGTAAAATAAAGGGAAGAAGGGGTGGATCTGAGGGACAAGCGCCAGTGGAAACAGGGAAAAGTTGTGCAGGGAGGAGCAGTAAACCAGGGAAACCAACAGGGGTGGAGCAATGTGGCAAATGAGAGCCAAAGGGGATCAGAAAAGGAGAGAACGTTCTCAGGGGAATGCTAATATGGAAAAGGGGGCTGAACAGGGGTGACATCAACTAGGGGAGCCAATAAACCTTAAACCATTAATGTGTGGTTGCAGAGGCTTAGGGGAGGAAGGCTTTTCTCACCCTGACCCCAGAGGGGGGTTTCTCATAGCCTGGTTCTGTCCTTCCAAGCCTGAAGTGCTGTAGTCTCTGCTGCAGGCCTCCCAGCCTCCACAGGGAAGAACTGCTCTCTCCAGGCACCAGAGGACAGAGAGCTTTTCCTGGAGTTCATTTTTATCGTGTGTGTTCAGCTTTCTAGTGGTTTAACAATGTGTCTGTCTTCAAAACCAGTCACTGATTGGTGGTTTTGGGCATGGAGGAAGCTCTCAGCAGCTCCTCTCAGAAAAATAATTTCTGTGGGTGGCATCTTCCTGCCTCACCAAATGTCAATTAATGCAAAACCGGCAGAATTATTAATAACAACTTGCATCCCCACTTTTGTAAATGTGTCCCTCAGCACATAGGTGCTGCCTGTTTGATTCCAGCCTTGGTGCCTTTTGCTCCTGGCAGTATCAGAGCTTCTGCTCTTTTCCTGTTTGTAACAAATGTTTGTTACCAAGTCAGGAACCCAGCTGACCAAAATGGGGCAGGAAGAATTCTCATTGTTATTGCACCAGCATATTCTAGTCTATTAAAGTATCTTGCAAAATCTTTTTATGACTCTTTTCACGGCCAGTGTAACTGTGCAATTTGAACAGTTTCCTTCTTCTTCAGGAAGGGAAAGATAACTTGTAATATATTTCATTTGGGATGTTGGAGGTTTTTTATTCTTTTCCTGTTGCTCTTCCTGTGCTTTTTAATTCTCTGCCATGCTCAGCTACAAGGGTGTGTTGTTTTTCTCCCCATGTTCTGTGTGACGTTTGGTTGTCTTAAAATCATTCCCCCCTTGATAAATAAGCAGTGTTCAGAAGGAAAAAATGGGAAATGCAAGGTGAATATTGAGCTTCTACCCAGCATATGTGTTACTTTAAATTAAAAATGTTTATGTGTATTACATCAGTAAATGTCCATATTAGGAAAAAGCCTCTCTAGCTAATTGACTGCAGAAGTATCTGCAGAAGTAATCACTTTGGGATCCAGTGTTTGTACCTTCAGTTAGTCTTTTCTAAAAGAGATGAAATCTTCTCTCTTCATGTGGATATAATATCTGGTTTTAGTCTGAACTGACTGAGCACAACCAGACTGCTGCTTTTATCTAGCTGTAGTATTTGTTGTGTCCTGTACCTCTGATCCTAAAAGACATAGCAGTTGTTCTGGAAAACCCTCCCACTTTTATATGGCAGAGGCTGGTATTCTCTCTCTCAGTGGAGATATCCATAGCAAGCTCTTGATGTTAAACTCAAAGTGAAATGATGGTTGCTGTTCTCATAAGTGTGTGAGTGAAAACCTCCTTGTATTTGATATACTGCAAAGTGGAAGAGTGTGATTTTCCAACCACAACAAAAATGTTGGGATTTTTCTGTCCCCTTCCATCAGCTTCTTAATTTATGAAGCTGAAATGGAAGTTGGTCTAAGCAACATCTGACTGATACTTCTGCTTGAGAAGAGAACCAAAAGCTGAGCAAACTTTTGTTTGGAGAACAGGAATGCTGCTTTGCTATGTTAAATAAAACATAAGATTTAATTTCTGAAGAAATAATTATTTCCTTGGTTTTGTCTGTTTTTGGTACAGGTTATTAATGCTGCTTTAGCTCTTGCTGCCAGACCAAAAAGTCAAGTTGTGAAAAACAACATGGAGATGTACAGGAGTACGTGGGAGAGTCACATCCGTGTTCTTACTGAGGCTGTGGATGATATAACAAGTATTGATGATTTCCTTGCTGTGTCAGGTATGATCATTTTCAGAATCCAATTGTTCTTTTATTTGCTTTGAACATTTTTCATCACTTTTCAGTAGGAAACTATTGAAGTGGAGGGAGATGACCCACCTTTGTTGGTCCAGCACCGACTCCGTTTATTGACTCCATCAGTCACTTTTTATAACCGTGTTAATTAAGTTCATGCATATTGCAAAACCCGAGCTCATCACAGGTCAGAGATAACACACCAACCCCTCCTTTTGTTTTCAATACCAAGATTTGTGTTCTCAAAACTTACTTTTACTTTCCCAGAACAGCCAAAGATAGAATATTCACCTGCCATGAGAAAACTGCCTGATAAGTCTGGTATGCAAGGTTCTCAAGGCCTTCATGTTTGTCACTTTTACTAGTAATTAAAAACAACCTGAGAACTTCTGCTGTTTACAGAAACAGGCTGTGAGAATTTGCTCCTCACAGCTGCCTTCTAAGCCATTTCTGAAAAATCTCCAACAGGAAACCAATGAAAGATGAGATTGTACATTGATATGTGAAACCCTTGCTGTTGTTTCAAACACCCCCACCCCAGTGGGGTGCATTTCTCCATCCCCACAGCTCCATTTACCTCTGCAGTTCCACATCCTCTGTGCAGCTGTGAGAAGTCTCAAGAAAAGGAATTCCACATTTCTGTGCATACACCTTAAAGAGGTGCTTGAGATACCCTGTGTTCCAGTTCCTGTGCAATGCACAGTAGAATTTCTGGAATTTTCAGTGTCACAGATATCTGTCACACAAAATAGACTTTTACAGAACTCTTCAATGAGCAGGCCTTGGGTTTAAACTGTATTTACTGAAGCAGTGAGCGTCTTCAGCATTTAAAAAGAAGAGTGAAAAAAGTTGTTTCACTTTTTGTGTTTAAAGATCCCAGTTCTGAAGTAAGGTTCTGCCCTCACTGTCTCACTTTCCTTAGTGAGGAAAACAAAAGCATTTCCTTTGCTCAGTGCCTGTTTTTTCTGTTGATCCTGCTAAAATACACCTTCATATGCATAGTTTAGCAATCCTTGTGCAATCCTGTCATGGACTTGGGTCTGAGTGTAGAAGAATTTACTGCAAATAATGTGGCTTAGTTATTCACAGTTACTCTCCTGTGTGTGTCTCAGCATCTTCATACAGAGTAGCAGAAGCTGAGAATTATTTTCTCCCTGTGTAAGTTAGCCTTTGATGGAAGTGCTTTATGAACCTGCCTCCTGCTTATAGTGCAAATCTTGCCTGTTCCTGAGATTTCCTGAAATTTATGCAGGTATTGCTAAAGCTGTTAATAAAGAGATGAAACAAATAAATTTCTAATGAATAAAATATGTGAATCTCTTTAAAACTCAGGAGATTTCATAGTAGGTTAAAAATCTTCTGTCACATTTATTGAGCTAAATGATTATTTTTATCTATACAGTTATGATTCATTAAAATAGCACATTTCAGGTTTTTTTCCCAAAATTTCTTGGACTTGAGGAATAAAATTAAGCATTCCAATAATAGTTGTGTTGAAGAAAAATCTGTCATTGGGCAGCTGCTCATTTCAGAGAAGACTCCTGGCTCTTTAGTGTATTTACGTTCTTTAGTTGAACACATTTAAATGATTGACTATTTCACAGTAAGTAAAAGCAGAAACTAATTCAGGTAGCACTGATGTGTAGGCCTACATGCTATGAGGTCCAAGAAAGGTGAACATTGCTGTATTTCCTTTAAATTGTGTGCAGAACATCTTCTGTAAGCTTTGGTGGAGCCCTTTGGCTCATGTTAATTTAATTTGTTTAAACTTCAAGTGTCATGCTTGTTCCTAAGGGCTCTGTTGAGAAGATGTTTCTCTATGGCAATGTCACCTGTTTGCTTTGGGAAGGTTCTTTTACTAGTTCATGTACAAAGCAGTAATTTTTAGGAGTAACTGTAAGGAGCAGTGGAAACCACACTTGGTTTACTCCTCAGTGTATCAGCACCATTGTTGTGTTCTGAGGGATTAAAACATTCACACACTGCTCTGTCTAAATAGAAAGGTCACAAGTGGAATAGGAGATGGAGGGAAATTACTCAGTAATTAGGGAAGGTGTTGTGCTTTGAGGATTGTGCATTGTGTTAGAGACAAGAGAATTCCAGACCTGGTATTTAACAGCCCTGGTTTTCTACAGGAGTTAGCATTGTACATCTCATGCCAACATGGGCATTCTGGGCAAGAAATGCCTCTTTAAGTAGCAGATTGCTTTCAGAGCAGGTTCTGTGCTGAGCTGGCATGCCAGCTCCTCACTCATGAGAGCTGGAGCTGCTGAGTTTGCAGGTGGGGGAAAGGATGAATCCTTTCAGAGGAGTCAGAATTGCATCCAGAGTTACAGGACCCTTTTTAGGAAATACAGTACACACCTTCCCTGCTGGTTCTGGTGATTGAGAACTCTGCATCACACAAGAGAATTGCCTGCTTTAAAGTCCATCTTAAATTTCTTCTCAGACTGATTGAGAGGTCAGGTATTTCTGACAATCCTGCCTGTCCCACCGGCACTCAGGGAAGGAGAATTGTGAGCATTTGGAAAGTTGGTTGTTTTTTCTTTGTTGTTGTTTTGTTTATTTTGTTTGTTTTGTTTTGTTTTTTGTTTTGTTGTTTGTTTGTTTTTAATATTAGAAATGACATCTAATAATAAACAAAATGCCGCTCTTCTTTTTCTGTGTATTGGTCTTTACTTTTCAGATTCATGCATCTTCTTGAAAATGGATTTTTTTTTCAGTTGTGTTTTGTTGTTGCCAGTTATACGGTACTATAATCAAAGGAAAACAGCACTACAGAACAAAAAAGATGAAATCAGGTCTTTACAAGTGAAAAAGAGGTCTGATTGCAAACAGTTGTAGTAGAGGTCTGTTCCTTCTAAAGGAAAGCAAGAGTTAATGACTTGTGCAAAAAAAAAAGTCATTGTAATTATGGAACACTATAAATTATGATACTGTTGTTCATAGATTTGTTACACCTTGTAGGAACAGAGAATCAGTCTCAGCCTATCAGTTTTGGATAGTTAATTTATGCAAGGAAGAATGTGGGTGTTAATCTTTACAACCCACTGACATTAAGTTAAAAAATTACTGTCATCCATTTATCATGATGATGTGAAGTTACAGATTCATAAATTAAAATGTGCTGTTGCATTCGATGCATGAATTTCCAGGAAACCAGTTTTGTTCTGCTTGTAATTGCATTCATGGTAGTAAATCTGAAGTTTTATCCTCAACCCTCTGCTCTTGTAAGCTGACTCTTAGTGTCTTCTCTCTCATACAATTAGCCTGAAACAGACTTTGAGGCTCATTTCCTAATGTTGATTCTTCTGTGTTATTTTAATACTCTTTTATTCAAAACTGCCTTAGTAAACCTAGTGGGTGTAGGTAGAAAATCTGAAATGTCAGTATTTCCTTCCTTTGTGTGTATGTTTTCTGCTCCTGATGATGGTGTGTAATTGCAATGACAGGCTAATTGCAATTATTAAGTATTTCAATTTTGTCATGTGTTAGAAAAATGGTAAGGAAAGGCTTGGATCTTTTAGTCCCAGAATTAACTTTTGCAAGGACTATATAGGTAAGATCTGAAGCGTGTTTATATATACTAAATTCTCAGGACTTGTGATTTTGTTTTTTCCTTTCTGAAGAATTGGGACCAATTAGTGACTCCTGACAAGAAGGACAAGAGCCATAGTTCACTTTCCTGTGGTACTCTTGTTCTGGGGTGATGGGTAGGCTTTCAGAGCAGATTCTGGGGAATCTTCCACATTTCTCCCACCAAATGGAGTAGAGAAGATTGCACTGCAAATGTGAAGTGTGCAGGGAATTCTTGAAAAGTCTGAAATCATGCAAGCTAGATATATTTTCCAGTCTTGTAGTCTTTCCCTTGGAATCTAAAAGGTATTTTTTCCAAGCATGGTGGGAAACAGTATGATGCCACCATGTTAGAACAAAAGTTGCCTTTTAATGTAAACCTTGGCCATCAGAAACCTTTAATTCAAGGAAAGCAGCAAAAGACTGGATGTCAGAGTAAAGCTGTTGGAGAAAATCCTTTTTGTGGGTGCAAACAGCCTTATGGCCATCCACATCAGCTAAGAGACCATATTTTTGACTGCTTTTGTTTGATTTCAGTGAAGATTTCTCAGTTAAACACCAGCAGAAATAACCAGGAGAAAGAACCTACCTTATGTATTTTATCCACAGGGCTGTTTTTGAATTTACCATCACAGAGAGGGAGCAAATGCCCAGCTTCACTTCTTTCCCCAACATTTATAGCCCCACATCTGGAGCCCCAGCTGCTGCAGTGGTTGATTAGGAAGGAGTGGCTCAGGGGGACTTTGTGACCATGTGGGGTAGCATGAATGAAATAGCAGAATAGAGAAGCAGAATTAAAGACTAACAAGGATTAGAAGAGAGTGCTGAAGATTCTCAACTGAAACATCTTGTGCAGAGCAGGGCAAACTTCCAATTTCCTGCAGAAATTCAGTTTGAGACTTCTTCAGTTATATGTGGTCCAAATCTTGGTTTGAATTTGGTCTTAGCTATTATTATACAACAAATCTTAAGCAATGCAACACAACTAGTATTAATCTACTGCAATAAAATGTGAAAAACGTCTGCTTGACAAATCCCTTCTCCTGCTTGCATCACTGAGAGAAGAATGAGGTTCTTCTGAATCACACCAATTAAGAGTAGATTCATGTAAGTGTATTTCCAGAAGATTTTTTTTGGAGGATGGAGAATGGAGCTAGAGAAGGAAGCACTGACCCAGTGCTTCATTATTTCTGTGTAGTTCTAAACCAGTTGAGCACTTTTAGAAAAGATCCTGACAGAAAACTCTTGGTTTGCTTGTACCAATTCTTGGCTGGATTGCACAGAAGTCAGTTTCTGTTCAGTAATGTTCTTCTCCAGCCTGTTCCAGACTTTAAGGGTTATTTTTGGTTTTTGCTGCATTTTTTGGAAGAGCTACATGAGATGGACTTTTGTGTCTCAGCTGTATTCCT